GCGAAACGGAAGAATAGCCTATATGTAGCGGATAACGGCACACACGAATGATGATGACGATGATGACCCAAATGATGATGATGATGAGGCAAGGATGAGATGATGATTATTTTACAACCACATATCTCTCGAAACTTTGCTAGTGCTGTTGCTGTCGCTTTCGTGGTAGTGCATGGCTTTATTTAGTTTTTTTTTTTTTTTAATCGTTGTGGTTGTTGGTGTTGGTGTTGTTAGTGCTGAAAGAACTGATATCATTTTCTTTGCATCTTTGCGGAGAACTGTATTGTGGTATTCTTGCTATATAACAAAGCCATCTTACTGACTGACTGACTGCTTTTTGAACACACGCACACACACACTGGTTCTTACGTCCCTAGTAGGCTTTAGCATCAGAATCTCATGCGGTGGTTAGGAGAAACATGTAATCGACGCCTCTTGCGTTCAATGAGCTTATGAACGTATGATGCGTTTCTTAGAACTGAAAGAGTTACGAACTAAAACTGAGGCATTCTTGGTTTACTGGTGTAAATTACGGAAAATTTGTTTTTAAGAGCTATAGAAATAGAGCATATCCTGGTCTGCTGGAGGGAATCAGTTTCAGATAAGATTAGAGAGGCATCCCAGGTCGAAGCGGCCTTAAATAGTACCATGTACGTTCTTCTTTTCTCAACTGATCAACAAGATAGCACAAGGATTTTATCACATTTACATGGAATTCCTTGTATTAGCTTGACTGCAGTCACCCCCATATTTTAACTTTTTTTTGTTGTTGTTGTTGTTGACACAAGGGTAGTAACCCGTAAGTATTATGTTCTACTTCTAACTTAAGCCTGAGACTAAAGAATCTCAGAGCAGTGCACGAACTCCGTAGCACCGGCGCGGATCATGAAATACTTTAGGTAGATTGTTAACTTCAAAGATGACCACATCAACCACCAAGTGCCAATTGGTCTATAAAATGCATAATATGCCCTATACCAGTGGTATAGGCGAGACGCATGCGGATCTTTTGGGCAGTTCCGAAAAAACCACCGCCTTCTCTAGAATATATAAAAAGTTGGAGCCCAGCCGTGTAAAAAACATGGTTCTTGACAAGCTCCTAAACAAAACTTTTGCTCTAAAAAAATTGTAATCGTCCTGATGCTGGTTTTTAGCTCTTTCGACTAATGAGTTTGCTGACCAGTGCCCTATACGCCCGAAGGTGTGAAAGAGGTCCTTTACTATGTGCTGAATGGCAAATAAATATTATCATATATAATATGAAAAAGTGTAATTAAAAAGAGGTCGTTTTTACATTAACAAAGGTTACAGACGGGAGAATCGACTTTACTGCGCCGGGTTAAATCCCATATGGCGCGGTCTATCTGCACAGAACGAGAACGCCGCACAGAGCATGAACTCTGTAGCTCCGGCAACGATCCCCATAAAAACTGCACTTGGGAAATGAAGGGTGCAGCTGTAAAACGAACCCATAACCTCCATAATGCAAGCAAACGGTTTGACCACTTTGCCACATGGTTGGGGGAACCACTTAGTCCCCTGGCAGATCTTTTAGTTGGTGGGTGCCCAGCCTCCCCCTTTTTTATGTGAATGAAGAAAAGGGGGTTAGGGGGGATCTCAGGGGTCTCAGCCACATGGTTTCCGTGCCTATGCATACGACAGTAACAGACTTGTAATGTAAGACGGAGACCAGTTTCGGGAAACTTTTAATGAGGAAAGGTTCTACAGGGGTCAAGCTGCTGGATAATGATGATGATGATGATGATGATGATGATGATGTTGATGATGATGATGATGATGATGATGATATACAACTGAATGCGCTCAGCTCTAAGCCATCTTTCGAAGAAGACTGGTCACCCAGAGGTGTTACAGGAGAACCGATAACAAATGAAGATTTAAATCATAAATAATATGGGGCACAGTGTATTTTATTCGTAATTAGTATTGAAACAGTCTCACGGGGTGGAGCGAAACGGAAGAATAGCCTGCATGCCCTATGTGGCGGATAACGGCACACACGAATGATGATGACGATGATGATAACCCAAATGATGATGATGATGAGGCAAGGATGAGGATGATGATCATTTTACAACCACATATTTCTCGAAACTTTGCTAGTGCTGTTTCCGTCGCTTTCGTGGTAATGCATGGCTTTATTTAGTTAGTTTTTTTTTTATCATTGTGGTTGTTGTTGTTGTTGTTGGTGTTGTTAGTGCTGAAAGAACTCATATCAGTTTCTTTGCATCTTTGCGGAGAACTGTTTTGTGGTATTCTTGCTATATAACAAAGCCATCTGACTGACTGACTGACTGACTGACTGACTGACTGACTGCTTTTTAAACACACACACACACACACATATATATATATATATATATATATATATCCACATATATCATCAGGTGCCTTGCCGACAATTGTGAGCGATCATGCCTCTCCATAATCTGCGATCTCCTGCAGCATGTATCAGTTCGTGTGATGACACACCTCCATGCCATGCAACAAGACTGTCAAGCATCTTCTCTCGTTAACTTCATCTATCCCTCCTTCCATAGATCTTTCCAGTGGCCACAACATGTTGTATTTTCCCTCTTCTCATAACAAGGCCGACAAATAATGACTGTCTCCTTCTGATGTCTGTAATAAGTTGTCTTCGGGCTCCCGCCTCTTTCAAAACCTCAAGGTTGCTCTTTTTGGCTGTCCAAGGTATTTTAAGCATTCTTCTATAAAACCACATTACTGAAGCCTCAAGAAATTGTTTGGCCTGCCTACTGATTGTCTAGGACTCACAGCCATATGTTAAAACTGGAGGTATGTAGCAAGCAAGAATTCTTTTTCTAACCTTTAATGACATAGATATATTGCATAAGATGTTCTTCATTTGATAAAATGCAGTTTTGCCTGTCCTGTTCTGTTTCTTATCTCAGTTATGCATCTTCCATCTGCTGTTATCCAAGTGCCCAGATACTTAAATTTGTGTACTTGTCCCAAAATAACACCATCGACTTTTGTTACACATTTAGAAATAATTCTTTTCTTTGATACCACCATTTTTTCTGGCTTTCCATTATTTAAAGTATTTAAAGTGAGGCCCATTCTGGCCAGCCAAATTACAAAAGCAACAGCAAGAGCGGATACCACAACAAATAGAAAGCAACAATATTGAACACAATCCAAAATCAAATAAGATCGAGACCAGAAAACGTCACCACAAATATAGCTGAAAGGAAAGTGAGCAGAAATGTGAGCGGACCTAGCTGAAAGTGGTCAACGAAAGAGAATTTGAATTTGAATTAGGCCCATTCTTCCACTTTCTACCACCACAATGTCCATCATTTTTTGTAGTTTTTTCTGATTTTTTGCTATCAAGACTGTGTCAGCATAACGTAAATTGTTTATGCCCACCAAACACAATTTATATATATATATATATATATATATATATATATATATATATATATATATATATATATATATATATATATATATTAAACTAGACGTACAACCACAAACAAAAATTACATAATGCAATGCCTGGTATATTTCGCTGTATCTGGGCAGGTGCATACAACTGTAAAAATTGAATATATTGGAGCAAATAAATTAATCCTTCTAATCAATTACATAATCAGCTACACTCGAAAGTAACAAGTCAATTTTGCCAGGGCAATCACAGGTTCACCGCCATATCTTTTTGTCTTCGCAAATATTGACGAAGCTATGGCTACAACGAAGCATAGCATTCTACGAAAATCTGGGATTTATACATACTCTCGTTAAGCCATGTCTCAACTCCTAGAAGCCATGCCTTCCATTGGTGGCTCCCCTCCCCCCCCCCCAACCCCCATGTGCGTATATGTCTAGGTAGGTAGGTGGTTGTACCCCACCAGGACATCACACAAGCGATAAACACCCGGTGACACAAAGTGCCACCATGCGGATGAGGATCACCCGTGCAGAGGTCCCAGAAACCCCTTTCAGCCATATTTATGGCCCGGCTATATTCAGGGCCCCCGGCAGATGCCAGGGTGGGGTTTCCAATAACAAAAAATTGCATCCCACATGGGGACGACTAGCATTATAATAACTCTATGTGTGTGCGTGTGCAGCATGTGTCAGGTACTACACACATTTATAACATGCCCCCATCCAACAAAAATTATACCCACCCCCCCTCCCTTTTTTTTCCCTCATAATTTTGTAAAGAGGCGAGGCAGCTCCAGTTTTCCATGAAAAATAAATTCTCTTTAAAAGTATTTATTTATACATTTCATATTATTTTAAAGATGTTTCTATTTTTACTTATCATCTAGTAGTAAAGTAAAGTAAAGTAAAATAAAGGACCCTTTTCCACGCTTAGGCATATAGGGCATATGGGGCTAGACTTATATTTTATAGACCTATCGGCACAAAATCATCCTGTGCATTATTATTATTATTATGGTCCTAAACTAGGATGCGCCCCCTTCCCCCCCCCCCCAAAAAAAAAAAAATATGTAAGGCGGTGAGGGGCTCAAAAGGCGTTAAGCAGCTTCTGTTTTCTGTGTCTCTGCTAGTCAGCGCGTCACCCCTCAAACGGTGATATATTTAATTGTACGTTTGTCCTCTTTCACCATAGTCGAACGGAATGCAAACAGGACGCACTAGTGAACTTTGTTGAAAAGAGACTTGTATTTATTTGACTCTCAACACACACAGTGCACGAACTACGGTCCCTAAAAACACAAGGATTGTCACCATTGCGTTACCTGTGGCAGGAGATAGATCAGAATGGGGGAACCGGGAAAATAGCGAATAACAACCACAGCGCCAGCATTAAACGGAATCTGTCACCACACGATGTCCCGTTACCGTGTACTGCTCACTGCTAGGGAACCTTCTGGATATAATCAATACTTGCTACCAGAAATCAGAATGCCTCTGTTGATCAATGATAGGTGACTAGGTCGGCGTTTCTAACACACAACCACCCGTTCTGGTCACTGTTTCACAACATGGCAGTAACTAGTGACAGTTACAACATACAAGATGTTTGCAGTCAAATTTCGACAAGTTTTGCGTCTACCCCGTGTAATATCAGCGAGCTTCTTTGGGAAGACAAGGTTAGGTCATTACGTGACCTTGTTACTACATATCGTTTGCCGTTAGTTGTGAAGTTAAAAAGTGGCGACATTAACACTTACATTGTGGATAATATTTCTGGAAGTAGTGTAAACAACGAAACAAAACTTACAGGAAACGGTCAAGTTGCTAGCAATAATGCATGTGATACAAGTGCTACAGACAAATCTAGTCCAGCGAATGATTTAACCAGCAGCAGTTTTGAAAGCAAAAATACACCTGTGCCTTCGAGTGGACAAGCTGATGTTATTTTGCAGATACACGAGACAAGAAGAAGAAAGATAATTCAAACTCGCAAAATGACTTGGGAAAAACGCCAGAATGATTATGTTGTTTCGGGAGAACAGGTGGAGATACCAGCCTCTTTTAAAGGTAGAGTAATTTATTATGAAATGTTATGTTTAGTTTGTTGATTTTACCGCATAACGGAGGGCACATTCTGGTGGATGGGTTGAAGTTTGATTACCATTAATGAGGTCCTGGGTTCCATGCTCATGAGGGATGTCGTCGTTTAAATTCAGCAAATTAAAATGAATGATGTGTGTGTGTGTGTGTGTGTGTGTGTGTGTGTGTGCGTGTGTGTGTGTGTTAGAATAGGAGATACGCGCGAAAAGAGTGAGGCAGAGAGGTAGAGAGGAAGGAAGAGTGAGGGGAAATGAGAGAGAGTGGGGGTGAGCTCGCAAAAAAAGGTAATAGAGTATGAAAAATAGAGAGTGTGGCATAACATGTGGTGGAGGGGGGATAAGAGTTTGAGAAAGCCAGATAGAGTGTTGAGGAAGAGCGAGAAAAGGCGTGAATGAGAGAATGAGAGAGAAAGAGAGAGAGAGAGAGGGGAGAAAGAGAGGGAGAAAGAGAAAGAGAGAAAAAGGGGCTGTCAATAAAAATAGTGTGAGATATCGCTTCATCCTAATCTACACAATGGAAAACTATAAAGTTATATAAAAGATTTCTAATTTGGTTTGTTAGTTAATTGGTTGATTGGTTAGCTAGGTGACTGTGTGTGTGTGTGTGTGTGTGACCGATTAGCTGGTTGGTTGTTTTGTCGCTGGCTAACTTTGCTATTTAGTTAGTTGGTTGCTTTGACGATCAATTTTTCGTTTTCGTCGTTGTTTGTTGGATTGGTTACTTTGGTGGTTTGTTGGGTGTTTCGTATCCCGTTGAAGCTGCCAAATCCTAACTCTTTTAGTTTCAAACAATATTTACTTTAACTCCCTCTGTCCAAAGGGCCTGAACTTAGAAGCAGTAGATACTTAGGTCCGAGGAGACTCAATGTGGCAGAAGTAATTAAACTAATAATTCAGTTTCAACAGGCCATTTTGGCATCTCTATTTGACATAAGACAACCAGAACATCATAATATCTTTGGAATTACCAAGAAACATATTATAAACCCGGTGCTGAAACATTTTCCACGAAACTGAAAGCCTCACAGGGTTGAGTCTCTCGTATGGCATTGATGATGTCTCTCCTGCCCATTGATAGCAACCACAACAAAGCCCAAACACAACATAATAAATAGCATTGTCTGCAATGACCAATGTCATATTTCCCAAACATTCCGAGAAGAAGAGAGAAATACAGGTCATTGGGCAGATTTTTAGGAAAAGTCAACCTGACGAGCCTCGACCAGGTCCAAGTAGCGATTTCAGATTTCTTAAGGTTTTTTTTTTTTTTAGAAGGTGATTCTCCCTCCAAATAATAACATCTCCACCTCCTTCCTTCTCAGTACGTACCATCCTAGTAAGCACTCTACTTTTCTCAGGAATATACAATGAGGTTAAATCTTCATTTATTTCGTCTAATTGCTTTTGTATTATGTATATTAATTAACATTAGGTCTTGGACTCTCACTCAGTCACTGATGAAAAAGATTGGAGCTTTTAAACTGAAATGTTAAAGAACAATTCTTAGAATACCATGGATCATGAAGAGGGAAAATATCGACATTCTGAACGTGTTGATCATCAAGGAGAACTGGCACATAAACAGCATCCTGTCCCGGAAGTTGAAGTATTTTGGCCACATCAAGGCAGGGGTTGACCACCACGAATATGGATACAAGACATTGAAGATGCATTGGCATTGAAAGCACATGGGGCTATAAAACCCCTTAAGTCCCTGCAGTTTTAAATCATTATCGACGACCAACTAGGTCGACCATTGTCTGGCCGGTAGACGACATAGTCGCCAGTCGGGATAGTATGTGGGTCTGTCTCCTTTGATCGCACCAACGCTGCAAGAGTCATTTTCAGAGCTACTTGCTTGTGAGCAATTCTAAGCCCTTTTTTATGGCGCACATAACCTGGTCACAATTATAATCTACAGATTTGGGATGCTGGTTGAGTGTGGCGATTATTTTTTGCAAAGCAAGCCAAGCCAAGCAGTTTCAAACTGCAAGTTGATTTTTATATTCAATTTAAATGGAAACAACAAGTTAAAATAAAGGTAGATAGGTAAGTTGTACCCCACCAGGACATCACGCAAGCGATAAACACCCGATGACACAAAGTGCCACCATGCGGATGACGATCACCCGTGAAGAGGTCCGGAAAACCCCGTTCAGGCGTTAGGCCATATTTCAGGTCCGGCTTTATTTAGCGCCCCCGGCAAAAGCCAGGTTGGGGCTTCAAAATAACTAAAAATTGCATCCCACAAAGGGATGACGGGATTATTTATTAAAATAAATATACCCCACAGGTAATATGCCCTAACTAAACATTACACAATTTATGAGAAAAAAATTGTAAAAATATTTTTAAAGACAATTGCATTTAAAATACCTTAATCCCCGTATGGGTTCCGGGGCCCTATTATAGGAACAACAAGAATAGACACACTGCCTACCCAAAAGAATGTCGTAATAGTTGACTAATTGGAAAGTCAGAGTGCATCGGCCTGAGAGGCAAGGAACCAGGAGTCTGTATACAAATGAGTCAGATCTTTAAAACGGATGCACACGCAACACTCAGGTTCTTGAACAGGACTGCAGTCCAAAAGTGGATGAACAACCAGAACTTTTCACCAGAGTTTACAGCTGGTGAACACAAAGAAGAAGAAGAAGAAATACATTAAAAGAAAATTGTATTTGTCAATTTTTTTTTTAAAGGAATCTTTTTAGATCCCTGAAGATTGTAAGGCCCAAACCTGCACCTTATTTGCCTTATACCTTGATCCAGCACTGATTACATGCTGTGCAACTCCGATAAAAGCTTGGTGAGTTGTGTAGCACCGAAAGAGTTAAGTCAGCATATTCTATCAAATTTAACAACTACTGAAAACTCGATTATGTCAACATCAGAGAACATTGCTTGTCAAACAGAAGTATGTGTTCAAGATGTCAGCACTAGAGTTTAGCTTTCAGAATATCCCCCCTCGGCACCCTAAACCACACACACACACACACACACACACACACACACACACACGCACACACACCACACACACACACACACACACACACACACTCCCTACCCTCTCTGTCTGCAAACAGCAAACATTAAAAAAAACTAATTATTGCTGGTGCTTAGCAACAATCCCGCCAGTATCAGCGCCAAACAAGACAGTTATGTGCCCTTCCCCCTCCTCTCCAGCCCTCCCCCCCCCCCCTTCCCCCCTTTCCCAATTTCCATGTAAGAGCTGCCGTGGTGTCGCAGCGAAACGTTCACAGGGTCGTGACGGAGCCGAATTATTTTCAACAATTACATTGGCTCTCAGGTCGACCCAGCTTTAGGTTGGTACCAGGTACAGTCCTGGGAGGTAAAGACGGCAGGACTCATTGTCAATTGGTTTATAAAATACTAGCTGTACCCTGTCACGCGTTGTTGTGGTCCAGAATGGTGAAATGGAGAGGACAGAAAAAAGCTCTCAGCTAACAGTGTCTTTCATATCCCCCCCCCCCCTTTCCTTCCTCTCTTCTCGATCCAGTCATTTCTCCCTCTCCAAAGGATTGAAAAATCATCCATGGCGAAATTATTAAAATAGAAATAGTGTAGAAATGAGAACATGAAAATAATATCTTAAGCTCTCTCAGCTAACTGTGTCTGGCACAACCCCCTTTCCTCCCCCCCCCCCCCCCACCAATCATATATCTCCCTCTCCGTAGGATTGAAAAATCATCACCTTGCGAAATTATAGAAATAGTTAAGAAATGAGAACATTAAAATAACATTTTATGTTAAGCTCTCTTAGCTGACTGTGTCCGGCATAACCCCCACCATACCACGCCCCCCCCCCTTTTTTTCCAACAATCATACCTCCCTCTCCGAAGGATTGAAAAATCATCACCTGGCGAAATTATTAAAATAGAAATAGTTAAGAAATGAGAACTTAAATATTTTAAGCTCGCTCAGCTAACAGATACTGGCATACCCCCCCCCCCACCCCCACCCCTCCCCCAATCATATCATCTTCTCCGAAGGATGGGAAAGTCACCGTGTAACGAAATATTATAACTGAATTGAGCTTTGCATCCGTGTTCACCCAGACTTAAATAGGTAGCATTAACTTGTACAGAGAAGTAAACGTAGCCAGTGTAACAGCTACCACATCACCCATCCTGTACCAGTACTACTGCAACCACAACCACCAGCACCATCACAACAACAACAACAAAATCTGTCACTACAGTCTGTGTAGGTCGGTGTAGAAAAGAGGAGTTAGCGCCGCATGATGTCGCCACGGATTATTTAGTTTGATTTTGCCCCGGACATAGGAAAAAAACCTTCATTACGTAACCAGTGATGGAACCCACAGTGAAAAGTACACTATACTCACGAATAGCGGAGAAAAATACCCTGCACCCATCATCTCTCCCTCTCCGAGGGAACGATTTTTAACTGACCTTGGATTTGTGTCCATCCAAACTAAACTTGACTGTAAGCCGTCTTAGTTAACAGTTTCTGTCATCGACGAACAGTTTTTGATCGAGAAGCGTCGTGGGGAGGCTAATTAAGACTTAACTGAAATCGGATGTCTTTAGGCGAAAGGCGCAGATATCGCAGCCTAGCTGTAAACCACAACACAACGTGGCAACCACCCTTTTAAGGGAAAAACAACAATTATCACCCAGCGGGGAATCGAACATCTGTCACCGGCGTGAAGGATGACATACTTACAACTATACTACCAACGACTGAAGAGTTTACGTCAGATATCGCAGCCTAGCTGTAAACCACAACACAACGCGCCAACGGCCCTCTCAAGGGCAAACGAAGATTACCCATGACATGACCATTGAGCATCACGTCGCAGCTGTCGCAGGCTAGCTGTAAACCCAAAAACCGAAAAAAGGCGTAGATATCGCAGCCTAGCCATAAACCACAACACAACGTGGCAGCCGCTTTAAAAAAAAAATTATTTCAGCTAGCGGGAAA